CAGAAACTAATTTAGAAGATCCCAACACCATTATGGAAGAGTATCTTGAAAAGGTAAGATATTGTCACGTTATGATGTACAAGGTTATTTTCAAATTTATGGAAGAAATGAGGCAAAGAATACTTAAATTGTAGTAAGCTTTTTCGTCCCGTGAATTCAGAAATTATCTATGCTTTGAGAATGAGGACTTTGGAATGATGACAAAATGATATTCCTTCAGACAGTGAGTTTGTTAGAGAGCTTGGAGGAGAAAGGGGATACAATTCTAGATGCGTATCTTTCTCTGGCTCGGTTTGCTGATGGTCAGTATCAACACATTGTGAACTACATGAAGTCAAGTACATTTGAAGCCAAGCAGAACTTGATGACAAAGGCAAAAAAGGAAATAACAAGGATGCAACAGCTTGGAATGGACAATCTTGAGAAAGAGTAAATATCTAACTTAAGCTGTAGTGATGTGTCCATTCACCCCTACTGTCTGTAATATATGGAAATCACCTTATCTGTCTGTCTGTCTGAAATCTTGTCTGGGATATAACTGCTATGGAAAAACACTGGAAGTTCCTACCATAATTATTTTAATGATAGGTCGACACTTTTTTTTCTCCAACCCATTGGGGTCAACCTGTTTAACAAATCAGCCTTTGTAAGGCTCAAGATCAAGGTTACAAAATAAAGCCCCCAAATCATTAAAATTAATTTTAAAACAAATCTGTGCCATTTTCTGAACTTTTCAAATTATTTTACCGAGAATTGATAAGAAACAGTAAAGAATTTAGAGGCAGTCCACTAAAAAAACAGGCATTATTGTATTAATAGGCAGCACATCGAATCTGGCAAATATTTGATATTTTATTGAAAAAAATATCAGCGCATGTAATCCAATTGGAATAATGTAATTGAAGATTTGTTTGAAAATGACCTAAACCACCTTCTTCATTCAAGGTCAAATTAAGAAAAACAAGACCAGACCATAACTTAAGATCCTTCTGACTAAATGACTTGAAAGATGCACTGCATTGTTACAGACCCTGAGACGTGCTACTACCCAAAAAAAGCGTGTAACTTTCATGCGCTTTCCATTTCGTGCAAACCGTGTAGCGTTTCGTGCGAGCGTTTTGTGCAAGTCGTGTAGCAAGCGTGTGAGAAACGTGCGACTTTCGTGTAAGAATCATGTAAGAAATGTGTAAGATTCATTCGGAAGTAGATGTCATGATGTCAAATTGTGTTATTATTTTATTAGTTATACTTGTGGTATTTTAGGAGTTAAAAATGGGAATAAGTAAATGAAATTACACGGTAACGTTAGGGGTGGGAGGATACACAGATCTTGTGATACGATACGTATCTCGATACAGTAGCACGATATGATGCATATCTCGATATTATGCTAAATTATTTATTTTTTTTTTTTTGTCTTGACATTAAATCATCAAATTATTCTATATCAAGTCATGTGTGCTTTTGAAATTAATACTTGAAGTTCATCAATTTCATTAACTAAAACTTTACAAAAACAATAATACATGTACATATTATTATTACCAAATTACTATTAAGAAGTTGTTTATTTACAAATAGCTGTGTAATTCATTAGAGAACTTAGAACTTAGATGCTACATTAGATTCACTTAAAGGTACTTGGACACAGATTTGAAATTATTATTTTCTCTATAATGTTACGAGTTATATATTTTAATAGCATTTCACACAAAAATAAATGAAAAATCTTATTTCATTTAAAAGATATTAAAATTTCAAATTTTTTGATGGGTTTGATTGACACGTCCTTGCACTTTTACAAATTAATTTTATTCTTAATCCTTAGGAAAGGTGGCAATCTCGTTGTGTATAAATGATAAATATTAATACTGTAATGCAGTAAATTCAGAGTAGACATGTTCGAAAGCAAAACAAACACACAATATACTCTCAGTCCGTGCAGTTGTGGTAAGCAGACTGTGACGATATAGAACGCACCCGGTGAATTGTACACATAAACAAAAACATAACTCGTGCCCAGCTGTTTACAAAAACTGTGTACATAACACGAATGTGCTCGATTTGCTAAATCCTGTACGCAACTCTTAGTTCGGAATGACGATACTTGTGAAGGAGTTTTCTTTCTAACATCTCTACTCTGAATAAAATTATTTTTCTGGATAAAAGTTTAAATATCTCTCATTAATACACAAGATTGCCACTTTTCCTAAGGATTAATATTAAGGTTAAAATTTGTGAAAGTGCAAGCATGTGTCAATCAAACCCGCCGAAAAATTTGAAGTATTAATAACTTTTACATGAAATAAGATTTTTTATTAATTTTTGTGTGAAATGCTATTAAAATATATAAGTCGTAATATTATAGAGAAAATATTGACTTCAAATCTGTGTCCAAGTACCTTTAAAAAGCATCACATTTACATTATTATTAATTGCTGAAGTCTGTAGCAAAGTTGAGATTACAAAAAAAAAGTACGAGATGGACTAACAATTAATAATACCAAATGTTCTGGAAACGATACTTTCTGTGTATAGCACGCATTACATACTGAACTTTTCTTGTCTAATCTTCCGAGGCTGCTTTAACGTGAAAACGTTTTACCCCTAACCAACGACTTATTAGTTCTAAAGCGTGTTTTCAATAATCAACATCATCTCTTCGCTTCGTACAAGCCGCCATTTTCCGAGGACAGGTACTGGTGGCAGAGGATAGTTTCGAATAAAGTACCGGTCAAAAAATAGAAAAAATAGAGAAACCTGAGGTTTGAATGCATATTATAGGTAATTTTATAGCTAGAATATTTTATGGGTGCATTTGGAGGGACTTGGTGGCCTTGTATATTTTATTGAAATATGACACTTTAGTGTCACTACTACTGTATATGGGATATGGACTAGAAATACGAAACTAAGCTCAAAACTCGCTCTACCGGTATTTCACCAGAAAAGCGGGGTGGGTTCACAGGATGAATTGTAGCTTGAAAACGAGGTGGTTGAGCCATTATCTCTTGCTGTTCATTGGTATGTACAAATGTTATTCTGCAATTTGTGTGGTAGCTTAGGTCAGGCGCACGGGCCTGGAAGCAGATGCGGCTGCGGCGAAATAGTGAAAATAGGCTTGATTCACATGAAATTTTGAGATTGTCCCTGCGCCATCTTTATAGGGCTCATTCTGTAAGTTGTACATGTTTTATTCCTAAAAGCTTCAAATTTCTCAAGGGACTACTTCATACTATTATTACATGTAGAGGGAATTTAAAATTTTTCAATGCACATTTTTAAAGCAGCTCAATATTAAGTAAACCGTCAGTCAAACGTTTTGATTGCAAAAAAAACTATCCTCTGCCACCTTCAAGAATGCATCAATTTTTAGAAATGTGAATTTTAGTCTGATTTTCATACAAAAGGGTTTATTTATGTAAGTCAATTTAAAAAAATACTTTGTTTCTGTTATTTAAAATCTGTACAGATAGGTATATTCACTAAAAAGCAAGGGGGGGTTACTCTTTTCCAGCATACATTTTTAAAGACTTTGAACCATCAGCATAATAAATCATATAAGATTCAGGCATTTTTTGCCAGAGAATAAATTAATTGTTTGAATTTGATACTTTGGGTATTGTCGCATAATTAAAATCATGTCTTGCTTTAATTAATTAAATCTAATTAAAATTTAAGTGTATTAATTAGTGCGATATCACTGAAATTACATATATTTGCCATTTTTTCAACCTAATTTACTAAATATAATTATTTTGAAAATAAAAATCAGTCAGCATACCTAAATGTCACTAAACCTAACCATATATAGTACAAAAAAACTTTTTTTGCTTTATTGTCTCGCCTGCGACGAATGTCGCGAAGCGAGACATAGCGACCATAGATTCCGTCGTCGTCGTCGTCGTCGTCGGCGTCCAACTTTTGGTTAACCCAAATGTCAAAGTTTTATAAACTGCAATAACTTTCTCAAATTTTATTCAGTCTTCTTGAAATTTGGACACAATATTCAGTATGGATAAAAATTTATATCCCAAGTATGATTTTGAAAAAAAAAATTCAAATTTTTCCGTATTTTTTCCTTAAGTTGGACTTAGTTTTTTCATGATAATTTATGGTGAAGACCTATATTCCAGCAACTATAAGTTATAGGGATATGATAATTAGTCAGTGGATACATCATGGGTAACCACAAACGTCAGTACCAGAATTAGGTCATCTTGACCTACATTTTTCTGCATGAGTGACTTTGGTTAAATTTTTGGTGGAGGTCCATATCTCAGCATCTATAACTTATAATGGCATGATGATTTGTCATTGTACAGGTTATAAGTAACCAACAACATCAGTACCAGAATTAGGTCATTTTGACCTACATTTTTCTGCATGAATGACTTTGGTTAAATTGATAATGGAGGTTCATATTTCAGCAACTATAACTTATAGTGGCATGATAGTTAGTCAGTGGATACATCATGGGTAACCACAAACGCCTGTACCAGAATTAGGTCATCTTGACCTACATTTTTCCGCATGAGTGACTTTGCATAAATTTATGGTGGAGGTCCATATCTCAGCAACTATAACTTATAGTGGCATGATAATTTGTCAGTGGATACATCATGGGTAACCACAAACGCCTGTACCAGAATTAGGTCATCTTGACCTACATTTTTCCGCATGAGTGACTTTGCATAAATTTATGGTGGAGGTCCATATCTCAGCAACTATAACTTATAGTGGCATGATAATTTGTCAGTCTACACATCATGGGTAACCAACAATATCAGTACCATAATTAGGTAATCTTCACCTACATTTTCTGCATGAATGACTTGATACATATACAGTGGATTTGATTTCAAAATGCAAGTTCAAATTATTGCGACTCATAACACGTTGCAATATTCGCAATAATAAAAACATCACAATAATTTGTGAATTTACAGGGTATATGTATATATATATAAATGCCAATATAATCGCCAAGGGATTAAATATTAAGTCAGCTGTTCCATTTCTTTATTATTGTATTTTTGAGTTATTCCTTCTGAAATGTCAATAAATGCTTCAGTTTATCAGACAATCATTTCTTACTAACCACAGCGACAGCAGGCGAGACACAGGGTTGCGGGCAACCCTTACGTACTTTTTTTCCAAATATCAATAAAATGTGCATTTTCATGTAATTATTGAATTCTGCTAAGCCCATATAATCTGCCCACAATTGCCCAGGATGGACAGAATAATCACTTTTAGTATTCAGGAGAATGAAATGTATGTATTTGATTACTCATAACTGTTAAAAGTGAATATCAGACACTTAGAAAGAATTCAGCTAGGACAAACACATTTTTACAGTGCATTTTCATTACACTGAAGAAATGGCTGCAGGGGTAGGGTGTTGAACAGCCATTTCCTGGACACTT